ACGAATTTTCTAGGAAGAGCCTGCGAATCCACAGGTTAGAGTAGTGGTCGCCAAACGCATGAAGCTTTTCAGCAATCATACCGTTTTTAATCCTACTGTGAGCTACCAAGAAAGAAAAAAGTATAATCTTAACATTTGTTTATTGTCTATGAACATACAATTCTATTAAATACGAAACATTTTAATAAAACTGTATACAAGAAAAATAAGTCATCTATCTGAGCTCTGTAGAACAAGTCCAGATTAGCCAATCTTGAGCACGACCTCAATCTACCGAAAATTGACCGACAAACTACTAGTAGGAGATAGTTTGGCGATAACTAGGTAAAAGGTCTGTTTTGGGTTATTCTTTATTGGGGATATTTGTCAGGACTTTTATGGTATTATTTCTGGTTTGATAATATTTCACTACTTTTCTCAAAGAATCTGAAATTATTAGGGAAATGCAGATCAAAAAACTCTTATTTTATTTTTAATTTCAAATGTGCGTGAATGGTTATAAAGTTGTGAAAATACATTAAGACATTGAAACAAATAGAATTGCATTAAGAAAAAAATACTAAAATATTAGTATTATACGAATTTTCTGTAAATGAAGTGTAATTTCGAAGAAACATTTCATTGAGTTCAGAGGCGAGTAGTCTAATGACCCGAAATCTACTTTGTTTTAGAACGTGTTTGACATTGAGAGTAAAAATTAAATTTTAAAATGAAGAGATGTCCTTTAAGGCACTGCGGCACTTTTGTATTATGCAAAACATGTTCATCATCAAAAAAAAGTTCTGCGACGGAGTGCGGTCACACGTGCCGACTGGAAAGAGTCGCAAAGACGAATAGTCAGAAGGAAAATAGAAGAGTACGTTGTATTACAAAGGCACGGAGAACGAAGAAAAGAGAAATTGAGAAGGTACACTAGTGTAAAAAAAATAATAAATTATTTACGCATTTTATCTATCTTAAAGGAATTATATTAAATCTTTGTGAGTTGACGATAACGAATTCTTCAAGATTTTCTGCTCGTGGTTGATTAACGGCTAACTAGATACCTAATACAAACATATGTTGTGTTTATTCATATGTTTACAAGAGTAAGTGAGAATATTTTCTCTTATGGGGTAATTCGACATCGAGCTATTGAATCCGATTTATCATTCTGAATAACCGAACTTCATTAAATCGAAGAAAAAAGTACAACAGGAAACAGACTCCGAATGCATAATGACGATTCACATAGATAAAAAAATATCCGGTCGTGAATACTAATTACATTAGATAAAATTCGCCGGCGCCGAATGTTTTCGAGTCATCACGAATTGTTCCCATTACGTACATTTAGCCCATAAGCGGAGATAAGTCCTTCTGAAATGGAGGGTTTTAGTATCTTGCGGCTGACAAATTTACTGTGCAGGCGTCCGGGCCGCGGCATTGCGAGGGCGGGCGGG